ACGTAGTTGGCATGTACCAAGTGATTTGTATTGAATATGCTCTGAAAGGCTTTGTAAATCCAAATGTTTTTAATTAATGCAAGTTAATCAGTTTTATTTAAATGAGAAATTGAAATCTTTTAATTATTTTGTGAAAAAGAAATAGTTGGAAAAGTCAATGTGACACCTCGAACTCGTTTTCGGGTCGGATACGGGTTGGGTGTGTTGCCTTTAATGGTACCAAAACTAAGGTTTAGTCGATTCTAAGCTTAAACCGAAGTTAAATGAGATTTAAAATGTGTACATGCAACACAAAGTCAATAATTTCTGATCTGATAAGTGTAAGGAGTATACTGTCTTGCTAATAGAATAAGAGTAGTATGATATAGTAGAAATCTGATTGCAATAGTTTTGAAGTGAAATGAGAGGCGATATTCCTGATTGTGATAGCAATTCACCTGCCCTGGCCAGACAGGATGAAGAGAGAATACCTCAGTAAGTGCCTCGTAAGATTAATGTTGATTTCAGAAAATTGAAATCATATTAGAATGGTAATAGAAGATCTTCATTGTTTTGAATCAGAAAAACGATATTGAGTAGTTTTGTTAGTATGTGGATAAGATAGAATATGGTGAACAAGTGTCAACATAAGAACGTTAAAAAGATCAAATAATGTGGTGAGTATTTATAGAAGAGTTCAAGAATAAGTATTTGGTGACAAGTTTATAAGATAAATGAAATCAGAGTCATGAATTTGAAACAAATAAATAGTACTATGTATAAGTAAGAGTGTGAATATAATAAGGGTTGACATTATAGATAGAAAGAGTTAGCGTTGGCTAACAGGATTATGTGGTGAAAATGTATTGAAGTTATCAGATTTTAAGATATTATCAGGTTAAGATAACCAAATATGAAGTGGATCTGGATACAGTTGTATATTTTGATCATAGTAATATAGTATAGTGAAGGAGGTAAGGATTTGTACGTTGAGTAAAGTTAAGGATTGATAAGAAGAGTTAAGAATGGGCATATCGATGATCAGTTTATAAGATAAATGAAGTTAGAATGTTGAGTTTGAACAATGAAAATTTATGGTGTATGAGAATAAGGAGGATTCGATAAATTAAGTAAATATTGTTGAGATAATCCCAATTGGAAATGATGTATATGATTAGTTGATTAGGGTATGTGCCCTAGATTGAATAGTTGTTATTGACTAGTTGTAAGAGTGAAGGTGATAGAGTTATAAGATTTGAATGAAAGTTAAAGTTAAGTTCATCAAGTATGATATGACTCTGGATGTGGTTATATATTTTGATTATATAGATATGATGTAGGCAAGGAGATGAGTATTTATATGTTTTTTTTTTAAAAAAGGGCTTTAAAGAAAGAAATACAAGTACAAAAGATGGTAAAGAATGAAGTTCTGTATAAGTAGAGTAGGTTATCAAAGTTATGAGGATGCAATGAAGATTGGTACTCAAAGATGAGTATAGGTGATAGGACAAGAATATTTGAACATGAAAGAAAAGATATGATTTGTGTATAAAGAGATTTCGGTTTTGAATAAATAAAGAAATAAGGGAATAAAGAAATGAAAAGGAGTGAGTTTAAAGGATCATATACAATAAAGATTATATGGAAGTGTAGATGATAAGTTTGTAAGAAAATGGTGCAAGGTGATGTGAAAAGATTGTTAGATTTCGTAAAGTATATGTTTAATCACATTTGAAGAAGACTTAAGGTTGTGTTATGGGTCAAATGGTGATGGAATAAGAATTTGGTTAATGCGGTGAGGTAACTAGAGATTAATAATGATGCAGTTCATTCATGATTTTTAATGGAAAAGATTAAGGTTACTGTGTATATGATAAGCGACAGTATATAAATGTATAAAGGAAAAAGGTATTTGAATAACTAAAGGAATGAAAGATTAAGTAAAGGAGGCAACATGAGAACATTATAAGATATGTTCTTATTGGTATTGTAATGAAAATTCGAGAATGAATTTTCTTAAAAGGAGGGGAGATTTGTAATATCCCAAAATTAGGGTTAATGATTAAAATAAAAATTTTGAAACTTTGAGGTTTGATTTTGAAAGATTGAAAAGTATAAGAAATTAAATAGGAATATTTAAGTAGTGGATTAAATTGCAAGGATGGAAAGAATGAAGGTTATTATGGTCTTTTTAATATCAAGGATATTTTCTCTCCTTTACTTGAGGATAAACACGTGGGATTTAGGGGAGAAGTCTGAAAGCTTATTCTTCTTCTTGCTTTTTTCTTCCCGTGAGCTCCTTGGTTAAGGTGAGTATGATTTCTGTGGATTATTTCTTTATGTTTAAGTGAGTTTTGATTCTTAAGGTATTAAGAAAGCTTAAGAAAAGCTTAAGTTATCTTAAAATCAAAGGATGATGGAGTTAGGAGAGATTAAACATTAGGAACTCTTGAATGAAAACTTGGAATAAAGTTGATAAGTGAAAATTGAGATTCAATTTGACTTGTCAATGAATGAATTAAGAGATATGAGGTGTTAAAAGTGGATTTAGAACATGTTGAAAAATTGAGTTTAATTTTTGAATCACAAGGATGGATAGGATTTTGAGGTTTAAGATGTGATAAATGGGTGTTAATTGGTTTAAGTAAGAGTATGTAAGTTAAGGATATGAAATGGGTGGAATTATGGCACAATTGAGCTAAGTTAAGTGATTTTCGTGCAGAAAATTAAAATTCTGGGCTAGTGTGCATCGATACACACATTCAACATGTACCGATGCATCAAGGGTAAATTTCCAGAAATTATTCAGTGTGTATCGATGCACAGGAAGTGTGTATCGATGCATCTCTTAAAATGAAAACATCGAATGTGATTTGTGTATCGATGCATAGTTAGTGCATCGATGCACATGTTAAGGAATGTACTGATGCACTACAAAGTGTAGCCTTTCTTTTAGTTTAAGAAATGAAAGATTAGAGTATTGCCAATTGGATTATTGATTTGTATAAAATATGATTGCGTAGATATCAATCGAAAGCAATGTTCAGACAAGGTGTCAAGTAATAGTCATCGATGAAAATATAAGGAATTGATATTGACTAGTGAGGCCATGTGAGTGCATACTCTTAGAATATATGTATTTTTACATGGAAACTAGACTTGTGATAAGTCTGTTTCAATATTTTGAATATATGATAGTATGATTTAAAGCATGATTAGGATTGTGTGTTATGTGAATACGTCTTGCTTGTATTACATGTTATGTTATCTGCATTTGTATGATATGTAGTATATGATAATGATCTAGGAAACATTACAAGAATATTACCTGAGCTACTTGATAATAAGTCATGAAATTACATGCATATATAATATAAGTTATAAGATGAGAAAATAAGTGTTGATATGTATATGAGAAAATATAAGAATAAGAAATAAGTTATGTGATTTATATGATATACGGGAAACATATGTGAACAAGAGATGAAAATGATATATATGTTATATGAACACATGAGAAGTGTTATAAGATAAATGACATATGATTATGAAATCATATGGACAGTGATATTTATATGTGAAATGATAAATAATAATGCCCATGTTATATGTCATAAGGGCTAGAGGTATAGTTGGCATGCCAAGAGTTGAGGGTTCTACGTGGTCCTTTGGGACATAGTGGTCCTTCAGGACAAATTCATATGCTCCTAGTGGGACCCCATACGAGCTGTGGTGACAACATAGTGAACAACCTCAATATACTCACATATCTACAGTTCTCACATGTATGTATGGGCCAAAATAAAAGATATAATATGAGAAAAATGTTATGTGATACTACATGTTTGTTTGGTAATATGATGTGTACGTATGTGAAAGTATGATAATAAGATGATAAAGTTATAAACGTGAAGGATGATATGTGCACATATGGATAATTATTTTATAAAAGAATATATGAGTGGGTATAAAATGGATATGCATGTATTTATGTTTGATGAATAATGTGTTAGATAATTTAGAATGAATATATGAAACGTGCATATTAGGAATTAGTATGGAAATGATATATATATATAAATATGTGTGTGTGTGTGTGTTATGCTTGTATATAATATGTTAGTAGAAATTGTTCAGGCATGATCACAAGTTAGAGTTTTATTATATGTTTTATGTCTCACTAAGTCAACGACTTAGCATGTGATTGTTTCACACGTAGGTTCGAGGAGATTATAGCGTAATGAGGAGCAAGACATGTCAGTTTCTCCTTGCTAAAGATCAGATCAGAAAAGAAATGGATACGATTATGTATTTGATATATTGAACGTAGTTGACATGTACCAAGTGATTTGTATTGAATATGTTCTGAAAGGTTTTGTAAATCCAAATGTTTTTAATTAATGCAAGTGAATCAGTTTTATTTAAATGAGAAATTGAAATCTTTTAATTATTTTGTGAAAAATAAATAGTTGAAAAAGTAAATGTGACACCTCATACTCGTATTCGGGTCGGATACGAGTTGTGGGTGTTACAATTGAACGTTCAAGTATATTTAACTTCATGTTTCTTTTAGAATATTATAATAATATCAGTCGAGCTAAATTCATTTGTTTCCTTCAGCTCTCAGGCCTTGGATTAGAATGGATCATTCATCCATGAAAGTAAGATAATAGACTCGATTGGAGTAGCAAATTGTAACGGTTAACAACACTAGTTTGCTTTCAGTAATCGTTAATCTAGCTGTCCAGTTTGTTTTTTTCTGAATAACCCAAATCATTTACCGTTGTTTTCTTTCCTCGGAATCCGCAATCTGAGATGTCAACCCATCTGAGGAAGGAACCAAAGAATATGTCCACCATTGCTGCATGCAAGGCTCCCAGTTGTGCCACATGCACAGACCCCAACGTAATCCTTTCTTGTAAGCTTCTGAAACGAGAACCATCACACTATTTTTCTTCTTCTCTCAGTTACAAAGCTACAGCAGTTTTAAGAGATAAGCATGCAATAAGCTTTGGTTGAGATTTCTTCTGCAAAGAAAAATGTTGGCGGTTTTCGAGAAGGCAATCGGAAATCCACCGGAGGAGCTTCAACTTCCTTCGGTAGGCTTAGATTGCAAGAAAACTAGGGAAGAAATCTCGGAGATGTTGAGGTTGTTGTGGCCGAAGTCTACGTTTTACCACCTTTCGAATGGGAACTTGATGACGCTGTCGCATGAAGCTCAGTCTCCTTTGCACCAAAGGTCCATGTTTGTCACGGACGACATCTTCTGCATCTTTATGGGGACGCTGGTGAACATTTGCGAGCTCCGGCGACATTACGGATCTTCGAGACAAGCGACGGAGGCCATGCTGCTGGTCGATGCTTACAAGGCTCTTCGAGACCGAGCTCCATATCCACCTGATCAAGTCATTAAAGATCTCCAAGGAAAGTTTGCTTTCATTCTATTTGATGCTAAATCCAGCACCCTCTTCGTGGCCAGAGTAAGCTCATTCTACTTCCACCATAATTATTAATAAACATGATATGATTCTTGATTTAAATATTCGCAGTTATACATAAGCCTTTATAACGTTGTTTTATTTAACAATGCTAATTAGGACGGCGAAGGAAGCGTTGAACTCAAATGGGGAATGGCTGGAGATGGCTCCCTGGTTTTATCGGATGATCCAGATACTATACAAATGACTTGTGGAAAATCCTCTGCCTCATTTCCTCCAGGTAAAAATGCATCAGTCTAATTATGATTTTAGTCTCTCTACTGAAATATTTAACACACCTTTAAGTTTCATTATTACATCTAAAGGCTTAAATTTAATACATCGTTGAGTTCACAGGCTGCATTTTCACAAATGGCAACGGCCTTGTGAGCATCGATCATCCGCTTCACAAGGTAAAGGCAATAGCTCGTGAAGATGAAGATGGGAACATCTGTGGAGTCATGTTTCAGGTGGACTTATTTACAAGACTCCCCAGCATTCCACGGACCGGCAGTGCCGCCAATTGGGCGGATGTCGCCGCCGCCGCCGAGGCCGACTGAGTACGAGGAAGCCTTTATCCAAACGTTCGGAGAAAATCGCCGTTTCGGTTTCATTTATTTAACTGTTGGTCATGTGTTTATGTTCTTGTGTTCAATGCGTGCTCTCGTTTCAGCCTCTCTTGTAGAACTCTGTTAATTATGGCAATATGGACAATAACAAAAGTTAACAGATGTTGGTAAGATTAGCCATTATTTTAATTTACAATTAACTTTCACTTTACTTTACATCTTAAAATAATTTATACGTTTACCTCTTAAAATATTTTTTCCGAGGGAAAATTTCTATGCATTTTAATGGAGTTTCCAAGGAAATGGTGGTTGAAACAAAGGGTAAAAATATACAAGTCACTTAATTATGTTCGAATAATTGTTTGGCTATTGAACTTTTAAAAACTACAATTTTTTTGTTAGTTTTTTACACAGTTATAAAATGATAATTTAAATTCATTTAATTATTTTAAGATAATCATTTAATTTCATTGAAACATTACAAAATGATCATTAATTTTATCAAACTTTTACGGTTGATTATAACATCACAATAAAATTTTCTAATAATGACCGTTTTATAACTTTTAAATAGTTAATAGCTAAAATGATCATTTAGGCATAATTCAATGACATTCGATGAACTTTACCTTGTTTTAAATCTTTCTTCACAAAATGGAAAAATTAATTTAAAAATAAATTAAAAAATAATAAAAGGAGAAATGATAAAATTCTATGATGAGCAATTGTACTTTGCATAAATTAATAAATTGTATTAAATCAACAACTTAAACACAATACAGTACTAACAAGATTAAAATGAGTATAGTCCTATTATACTACGGTATAATTTAAAGTAAATTTTAAGATGATTTTAAATTTGAAATATTATTATATTTAACTGAAAATTATATAATTTATAATATTTTTATTACGATTGAAAAAAATACACTATGTTTAGTTTAGAATTTATAACTGAAAAAATTATATATTTTTTTATAATTTTAGTTACAAGAAAATAAAAAAGATAAAAAATATTTTAATCTACAATATTATCTTATCTAATCTAAAAAATTACAGTTTTAATAATTTTTGTTATTACAATTGAGTTATGCTATTTTTAATATTATATTAATAAATTGTATTTTAAACTCACCCTAGAATTAATTTATAATATATTTTTATTACGATTGAAAAAATACACTATGTTTAGTTTAGAATTTATAACTGAAAAAATTATATAAATTTTTTATAATTTTATTTACAAGAAAAATAAAATATAAAATATAAAAAATATTTTAATCTACAATATTATCTTATCTAATCTAAAAAATTACAGTTTTAATAATTTTTGTTATTACAATTGAGTTATGCTAATTTTAATATTATATTAATAAATTGTATTTTAAACTCACCCTAGAATTAATGAACTTTTTCTAAGCAATTTCAAGATCCGACAACAGGATTTGCGTGACGTTTTTCCCGAAAAATTATCGGTGATCGGTATATTTATCGATCTAACACCGGTCAGATTATATTTTTTGATCTAACACAGGTCATATTATATTTCTCGATCTAACACCCGTAGTAGTAAAGCGCGTTCTCTGCCCCACACTATATGTTGATTTGGCGCCACGTGGGGGTATAGCGCTCCCCCTGTACCGCGCTATACGCTGACATGACTTACACGTGGGTATAGCGTGCCCCCTGATCCGCGCTATACGCCACGTTTATCTTACACGTGGGGTATAGCGCAGCCCCTGATTCGCGCTATATCTGTTTATCTGACACGTATGGTATAGCGCAGTACAGGGCGCGCGCAATACCTTTAATTACCCTCAATCCTCCCTATAAATACCTCATCCTCTATTACTTTCATCACACCATATTCTTTCAAATACTCTATCTATTTAAGGTATATTTTATAATATTTTTAATATTATGTATTTAATTTATTTAATATTTTACTAATATAATTTTTTTGCAGATATATAATGGAAGGCGGTCTACTTCGCTTGGATGGAAATCATATATCTCGACACTTTGCTGATACAATAACATTTTAACGTTTTAATTTAATTTAAATTATTTGTAATAATTTGTTGATTTATTTAATGCATGATTAAGAATTATTTTGTGTAATTATTTAATTTTAGGAGAAGGACCGTGTATTAGATCCTTTTATTAGAAATCTTAAGTTAGTGATACCTAGTCGTGTCTTGTCGTATTTAGTAGAGGCTGGATTTGGTTACATATGTAGATATCATAGTCACTGTAAGATAGAACCAGACCTTATTTCTGCCTTAGTAGAGCGGTGGAGGCCGGAGACCCACACATTCCATCTTCCGTGCGGAGAGTGCACGATTACACTTGAGGATGTTGTTATGCACCTAGGGCTTCCGGTGGATGGATATGTGATATCAGGGATCTCACAGGGTTCCTGGACTACTTTGTGCCGGGATAATCTAGGACGTGTCCCGGAAAGTTTTATCGATGTAGGATACCGTTAAATTTGTTAGATGCCAATTTTCGGGAGTTGAGCGCAGACGCCTCTAAGGATGAAGTTAATATGTATGCACGGGCATGCATACTGCAGTTGATAGAAGGGTTGCTGACGCCAGACAAATCGCGCAACCTAGTTCACAGCATGTGGTTGCGACATCTTAGCGACTTTCGTCTGGCCGGATCATTCAGTTGGGCTCGGTAGTTTTGGCTTTGTTGTACAGGGAGATGTGTGGAGCCACTGACTACAGGCGTAATGCTATCGGCGGATGTCTCCTGCTGCTGCAGTCTTGTGTATGGTATCGATTGCCCTTTTTATGTCCCGTTGTGAAGAACCCATTCGTATTTCCACTACTTCTGAGGTAATTATAAAACTGATTTTGTATATTAATAATTTTATACAACGTATAATAATTTTTTTCCTTGAATAGGTGGTCTGCTGATAGGAAAAATCATCAGGAGCTACCTGATGATTTAGAAAAATTAGGGTGCTAATCGATTAGAAGCTGACACACAAGTATGAATTTTAATGTTTAAAAATCAATTTTAGATTATAGTTATATAATTAGATTATTATTTTGATAAAAAATTATATAATATTTGTTTTAGTTTGAATGGGTGCCATATTGTACTGATGATGTGAAGGCGGTGATCCCACCTGAGTTGAAAGGCCCATCAGATGTTTGGATGGCGATGGTCCCTCTGATCTGTTATCCGACCGTCGAGTGGCACTCTACTGATCGCTTGCTCCGGCAGTTTGGTTGTTTTAACCAATTCCGGAAGCACCTCGCAATATGGACGAGTTGCATAGCTTAGATAGACGCGGTAAGACAGATATAGATTGGCTAGTGAGACATCATGAGTGGGTCGTGTTGTGGGAGGATCGATATCGGTGCCTTCCCCATAGAGAGCTTCATTTTACTTGACCTCTTGAGTGTTGCTGAAGGTTATTATGAGTGGTTCAACAGTAACGGGAAACTGATTCTTCTTCCTGAGGATGTACGAGGGCAGACCTTTCCGCGACGTCGACAGAGACGTTCACCGACATAGCACCATCGTCCCCCGACTCGTGGACAGAGAGCAGGTGCTTCCGGTTTATCCTCAGCTGCACCAGCAGGACCTTCACAGCAGCCACCGCAGCCATTTATGATGCCGTAGCCATATATGATGTCGTCGCCTTTCCATTACCAGATGTCGTCGCCGCCACCGTCACAGATGACCCCTCCTGGAGGCTATTATGAGTCTATGTTTGCAGATCTAACTTGGGGTTCATATGCTAGATATCTGGCGAGTTCAACATCATCACCCATAGCTACACTTCCTGTACAATTTTCACACTCAGCGATGTCTGGGTTTTTTGAGTTTTCCCAGTTTTCGCATGCCGGTGGGATAGTCAGTCATACACCTCCAAGGTCCTTATTCTATGGAGGTGCTTCATCGTCATCAGCTCCTCATCAACCTAATGTACCTGCTCAGGACGACGACGACGACGATGATGGTGATGACAACGAGGAATCAGAACCAGTGATACGAATAAATCCTCATCGAGACCGACAGCCACCGCCCTGCGGAACACATTCGCATCGCAGACATCGATAGATTTTTTTTATATTTGTATTTACTTTATTTTGTTAAATTGTAATTTTTTATTATTTCTCATTTAAAACTTACTTTATTTTGTTAAATTTGTTGGATTTTTTTTTTAATGTATTTCAGTTAATTTTGTTTATTACCATTTAATATCAGTTATTGTAATTTGGTTATCATTTACCATTTAATTCTTATTGTAAGTTTGTTGTATTTAAAATTATATTCAAATACCAAATTGTTATTAGTTTGATAAAATTTAATGATTGTGTTTGTTTTTTTAATCTTCATCAGCGATTATCAAATGACATTAACTTGAAGTAAATGCAAATCAAAGTACAAGAATTATTATTTGATAAACAAATACATCATTTCCTCATCAATTGTTACTTGATGTCAACAGAAGTGGACATGTTTTTCTAGTGTGTCCTGGGTTTCTACAATGCCCACATCTTCTGTCTTGTCTAGATCTTTCTCGAATATCCATATCGCAATGAATTCGATTGGATTTTGGACGACCACGCTCCCTCAATAAACTCGGGTTTGATACAATCGGAAGCCAATCTTGAACCTCATCAAGGTCTTTGTCATTACTTATGGGGGGAAACTCAAATTCGTATACCTTAAAAACTTCAGATAATAAGTATACGGGATCCACAAAACGATTATAGTCTTGACGTGTATGCGAGCAAGCTGCTATCACATGAGAGTATGGATACTTCAGAGCTTGAAAAAACCCGCAGTTGCACGTTCTGCCCCTTAGATTTACTCTTAACGACACAACTTCAATCCCTTGAAGAGGTCGCGGTAACTCTGTGACACGAAACATTTCATGCCTTCTAGAGAAGCTTGTTACAGACATTCCATTTGATGCAGCAATTTTTTTCTGTAGATCTACAACTAATCTAGGATGATAGACATGACTGCCTTGCATCCAAGTTTGAGCTTGTCCCCCGAGCTTCGCAAAAAGCGCCCCCAAACGAAAATATATAGTCTTTACCAAAGCCGCTACTGGTAAGTGGCGTGCACCCTTTAAAGTTGAATTGATTGCCTCTGCCAAGTTGGTCGTCATGTGTCTATATCGATATCCACCATCATATGCGTTCGTCCACATTTCTTTATCGATGAGGCTGATGTAATCGTATCCTTCCTCGTTCTTCGCCCGCAAATCTTGAAGCATTGATTCAAACGTTCGAGGAAGTAGTTCGTAACCTGATCAAAAAATGTATAACTTACTAACTTGCTTTCTTTGCAAAATTAAAACGATTGAAAGAAAACAAACTACATCAGTTTCACTTACCCATGCGCACAATTAATTGACGCTCATCATTCTTCTTATACCTTCCATGATAGTTCGCAGCAATGTGTCGGAGACAATACTTATGTTGGACAAAGGGTGGTTGCCATATTGGACCCAAAGACTCCATTGCTGCTTTGATCCCAGCTTCACGGTCTGAAATGACATATATGTTTTCCCTCGTGATAACATGTGCTCGTAAATTTTGGAGGAAAAAAGCCCAAGAATCTGTATCTTCTCCTTCGACAAGAGCAAAAGCAACTGGAAGAATATTGCGATTGCCATCTTGGACAACTGCTAATAATAAAACTTGCTTGTATTTTCCATACAAGAAAGTCCCGTCGATATGGACCACAGGCTTGCAGTATTTGGCAGCATTAACGCACTGTGGGTAACTCCAAAAAACCCGGTAGAATTGGCATCGATCGCGGAGAACTCGATCATTATGGTATGCATAGGAGGTTTCAAAGTCCACAATTATCACAAGATTTAACCTCCGTACCAGTCTAAACCATCCTGGAAGTTCGTTGTAAGATGCATCCATTCGCTATAAAGTTTGACAATAGTATTTTGTTTTGCCAACCAAGCTTTTTTTATAGGAGACAGTGTACCCATACTACGATTGTATAGCTGAAATCAACACTGCAACAGCTATATGAGAGCTTGCTTTTACCATGGGCATGATGGCTTGGCATATCACTTCAGAGTCCAAGTTAGGATGATCTTGGTTGACCCGTCCAGCACAACATGTGTTAGGACCGTTGTATACTGTTAGTTCCCATATGTTGTTTTTCCTTTTCCTTTTCGATACGCGAAACATCCAATTGCATCCGTTTTTGCGTCGGACACAGTAACATACATATTTTTCGGTCGTGAATCGATTGACTCTGGACAGAACAGAATTACGGATATTGTAATTTTTTATAGCAATCACCGCTTCTTCTTTGCTTGAGAACTCCATGCCTAAAGATAACTCACCATTATTTATTGATGAGTAATATCCATAGTCACCGAGATGAGGCATATCCGCAAATTCTGGCCCGTACATTGCACCATAATCAGCTTCATACATGTGTGCAGGAGGGCCAGTTTGTGCCACATTTCCTGAAACTTCATCATTATCGGAGTTGAATTGCGGTGATTCTGGGTGAATGAATAGTCCAGTCTCAGCACCATCCGCACCAGGCTCACGAAGCGGTTCTTCTGGTGGAGATGATGGTTCCTCCATGTTCTCCACATTTAGTTCGAAGAACCTACTACTTGCACGCCTTCCCCTTGAACTGGAAGGCATATCGACATTGAGATCGAAAAAGCTCGCAGTCGAATGCCCCCCCTGGAGCTTGAAGCCATCGTGTCAAATGGAAACTGCATAGATGATTGCGTCGATGACATCTCCATATGGTCAAAGAAATTTACAGATGAATGCCTTCCCCTTGAACTGGACGCGGTGTTGCCATACGGATTGTTTATGGACCCACCTCGGTACATATCGTAAGGAGTTGCGGATGAATGTCTCCCCATTATGGCATTAAAATCATTACACATTACTGTAGTCGGGCTGTCAACTTGATCAACTTGTTCAGCCAGCCCATAGTGGGAGCTTAAAGATTGACCCCGAACAACACGCACTTGAACAAAATATGCATACATCTCAATAGCGGCGTCTGAATAATTACTTTGAGCTTCAACCATCATTTGAACATCATCATTGTTTGAAAGTTCAAACGCTGTATAAGTTAATGACAACAATGATGTATTTGAAATCTGTACTGCAACGACGACATTCTTCTACTACTTCCAACATGAATCTTCATCGAAATCTTCGTTATCAGCTCCTCAAGAGTTATGTTTCTATTGAATAATATTTTAACACGCTCATTTGATACGAAAACAACACCGGTTTCATCTTCTCGAATTTCACCATCATAATAAACAATAGCTGAAAGTCGCGTCATTCTTTGAGTTTAAAAGTGCGATAATATTATATCTGTAAAAAAATAACTGAAACAAACCTGATTAAATAAATTATATATGAACGAAAATATAACAAAATAAATTTTTTACACATCAACGTAAATAATTTAAATAATATAATTTTATATTATTACTTGTACCGCAAAACTATTTTGACGTATGTTCATGCTTTTCAATTTTACAAACACAAAAATTAATTGAAAATAATTAGTATAACATTTTTTCAAATAATCATAATAAACAATAAATATAATTAAAAAAATTTATAACGAAAAAACGCACGAACTTCTAAATCAAATATGAGAAAATTATCAGAATTATTACTCGTTAATAGAATTATTATATTAATTTATAAGTAAGAGGAGAGAGATGTGAGAAACTTAACGGGGAGTGAAGGGTATTTATAACTATATAAGGCACGGTACCTGCACCGCGTTATATGTAATTATTTAGATAAAGGTATAGCGCGGACCCTAGTCCACGCTAAATAAAATTCATACCCAGGTATAGCGCTGAGCAGGGGCAGCGCTATATTCCTACGTGGCGTATAGCGCGGATCAAGGGACGTTTTATACCCACGTGTAAGCTATGTCAACGTATAACGCAGTACATGGGGCGCATTATACCCTATGTGACATCAAATCAGCATATAATGCGAGACATGAAACGTGCTTTATTACTACATGTGTTAGATCAAAAAATATAATACAACCGGTGTTAAATCAATAAATATATCAATCACCGATAAATTTTTTTTTAGAAAAACGTCGATTTGCGTGATAAAAATTACTGGGACACTCCCCCATCCCAAGCAAACAGCACAATTAATCCGACTGACTGTTTGAGCGCCAAATTCTGTCCTTTCATATCCTTTCATCTTTTCTTACTTTTTTTTCTTTTATTTTCTTTTAATCTTTATATAATTTAATATTTTAGTTTCTTTTTCCTATCTATAAATCCTCAACTTTCCCCTCCTCCAAGTCCCTCGCCGAAACCCCTTTGGTAAGTTACTCAAAACTCTTTGTTCTCTCTGTGAATTTAACAATCCTTATTTTTTTCTCAAGTTGATTCTTTGCTGCCAAAATGGGTTTTGTTTGATTTCTTTTTTCTCTTGGTTTGATCTTTTTCGATTATGGTTAGGGTTATTTAGATTGGTTTGCTTAGTCTAAGTCATGGTTGTGAAATAAAGTTGTTTCCTTTGTATCCCAAATGTGGCCTTTCTTGCATGCTCTTTTGGCTTATGATATGGTTGATTAATACATTTAACTCTGCTTCTTCCCCTTTCTTTAAGTGGTTCTTTGATCAAATTGATCTTGTTCTTTTTGGCTGATGACTAGATTTCGCTAGCACGCTTTAATCATCTTTAGAAAGATGTTTTTATGTTGATCATGGATTGATATAACATTATCTTTTCAGTTGCAGTTTGTTCTTTGCTCGTTTTTGTGTCTGCCCTTCAACTTTGTTAACCTAAGTTTTACATTGCATCATTTCTTATATTCCCCTCTTTGTTTTTGTTTTTGATTTTGAAGTTTGATATTTAGAATGGAGGTGTCTGGTTCAAATGAATTGCAATATCACGAGGAGCACGCATTGAACACTTTGCTTGATGCGTTTGGATCTGTATTTTCTCTTAAAGATATTGCTTCTGCCTACTGTGAGGCGAACCGGAATGTGGATGTAGCTGGTGAAATTCTGTTTAAAATGCAGGAGAACCCCACTTTTGTTGATGCTAGTGCATCTAATGGCAAGTCAAAATGTGGTGAAACTTTGGGATCATTCCACGGAAACAATCCCCAGAATTCTTTTCAAGCAATTGGGGATTTAAGAACTCAAAAACAAAAATGGAGACCAGTTTCAGGAGGGACTGTTTCAAGCATGCTAGGAAAGGGGTATATGAAGCCTACCCCTTCGGTTAATAGTTCCAATCCACGAACTAAACCCTTGAAGGTGGACTCAAAGGAGTGGCCAATGTCTGTACTTTGGGGAGAAGAATGCAAATCGAGTTCTTTGAAGGAGGACCGTTTGCATAAGGATATGGAAGATTTTCTTTTCAAAATGCTTGGACTGGGATTTCAACTGGAGAGGAATGTGATTAGCGAAGTTCTCGGTAATCCTACAGTTTATCGTTGCCTTTTATCTGATTTCCTAGCATGTTCTTTGTTAAGTTAATTTCTTTGTTTTATAATTAACGTAAGGCCGTTTGATGTCTATATGATTTCCTAGTACATCTGCACACATTCATTGTCATGCAAGATCACTAATCAAGTTTTATTTATTTATCGGTTTATATGCAGCTAACTGTGGATATGACATGCAAAAGGTATGGATACTATCCTCGTTTCAGACTATCTTTTCTTATCTTTTGAAATTCTTGTTTCAGACTATCAAATGCACTTCCACCGACTTTTTAGTGCAAAGTATCATATACTTTACTATTAAGGAAATGAAGTTTCTTTTGCCATGGCCGACTTCATGGAAATAAGATTCTTTTGAAGGTTTTTCTAATGGCTCCTTTCTCCCCCTCTTGACTTATAAGAGCATGGAGAAGCTCCTTGACCGGTCAGCTGCAGGTTTGGACGAAAGAAACAAGTTTCTTGGTGAGTCCAATAAAAAGGTTAGTGTAATAATATTGTGTGTGAACCTAGTGGCCGGTATAACTGTATGTGTTATTCTTCCTAAGATTAAAATAAAAGCGATTGTGATGTGCATCAAACCGTTACGGCTGATCATCTCTTTTGTTGTTGTTGCACTTCTTCACCTTTTATAGACTAATGATATGCATCCAAGAGCGGAGGAGGTTTCACGTGAAAAGTAAGTTTTCATGATTTTTTTTCTCGAGTTTATATTATTTTTTTGTTTCTCGGCTAGGTTCAATTTGGACTTTATCAACAGAGAGAATTAGGAAAGAAGTATTTCACAGTTCCTGATGGACCCTTTTCACTTGCAGGAACAAAGTCTTGAATGCAAATGGAGGAGCAAGGCAACCGAAGGATAGAAACGAGATCCAAAAGGAAGTCTTGACTGCTTTGTTTAATAATGGTCCCACGAGACTTGATGAATCACCGCCGAGAAGAATGAGGCCAGCAAAAAGGTCTATCGCATTTGGAGAACTTGTGGAAGGACCTCTGCTTGATTCTGTTGTTAAGGAGAAGGTGGATTCAGTTGGCTCAGATAAAAAAGATGGTATTTGCTCTTGTCCATTTCACTGGGAAGTTTATGTAACTAAGAATCGAGTAAGATGCTTATAGGAGGCAGATTAGATTTAGCAGTAGGCTGTTCAGGAACTATAAGTAACGACCACACATTTTTTTTTTTGCTTCTATATGCTTCGGTATATTAAGTAAATCGTAGATATTAATCATAGATTTAGATGGTGCAAATGTTCATAGAAGAAAGGTTCAAGGTCTGACTATTCCCATATACCTCTTACCTGCTCAATACCGTCTTCACTGCCTCAGTGGGCATTTATAATTATTAATCATAGTTTGCTTCACATAGACCTCGGCCAATGGGAAATGGTTGTTTCTGGCTGCAAATTTGCTGCTGTTGTTTTTCCGAATATGTTCACTATGTCCTGAGTTCCCTATTCCATTATTTACTTACAGATGAAGATGAAGAGGAAGATAGTTTCCTGGCTCTTCGAAGGGCTGTGGAGGAACATAGGAGCACAATGAAGGAATATTATAAAGCTGTAAGTCTTGTGGTATTGAAATTGCTGTCCGTTTTATCATGTTGGCACTAATCTTAAATGTTTGATGCAAATTATATTTTGTCAATATCCTTCGAATTCCATGTAACTGATACGCGTTCTGTGTCAGGCTATTGAAGCTTTTGCTAAAGGGGATCAAGGTCTAGCAAACAGACTTTTGGAGAAGGTAAAAATAAAGTCAAATATATGCTTGTTCTGTCGATATAACTTTACTTCCGTGTCACAAGTGAAATCGACCTTTCTTCCTGGTTGCTGATGGCTGCTAAAGTGGATATAAAGCCGAAAACAAACAATCGAAGTAATCCTAATGCTACTGTCTGTTGTCAAGTTTTGTGTGTCATCTACTTGAATTATGGATGGATTTGGGGTGACAGGGACAATTTTATCGTGAAAAGGCTCGCCAAGCAGATGAAGAATCCAATCAAAAGATTTTTGACACTCGGTTAGCTTCTCGTTCTTTAAAACGTTTCTGGACCCCCACCTTTTTTTTTCTCATTCTGTCTTGCACCCTTTTCCCAATTGTATTTATCAGGAGCATGACGGATACAGAAGATGAAGATGAAATATCGCTCGACTTGCATGATCATGGCGCCAAGGAAGCAATACGTCTTTTGAAGTGTCATCTATCTTCGCTTGCAGGCATACCATGTAAGGCCCCATTCTCCCAACTTCGATTTTACTCTCGAACCATGCTGTTTTCACTCATTGTTTTCTGTTTTCAATCAGCATTCAAGTACTTAAAAGTCATCCTCGACAAAAATGAAGACGACTCATCGAAAGGCAGCCGTCGACGACTGGTAATTAACGTCTATTCTTTGATTTCAATCTCATAACTCATAAGTATACTAGGAGACGACCCTTCTTTTTCCAATACACGAAGGGCTGTTACAAATACAATCTCACACGAAAGGTATTCGAATAAACTATAATTCTAATCAACCATTATAAAGCACAAGCAGACTAAACCATATTCAACTTTGAACTGAGAACTGACACTTGATATTTACGTTTATATGTTGCAGGTTATGAGGCTATTGGAGAAGGAATCAATCACTTGTAGTGAAGGAGAGACATTTGGTATAATCAGGATCCGATTGGATAATATAAACCCCAAAAATTTGAGTTTTACCAAGAAAAATCCATCCCTTTGATCTTTAAAGGCTAATTGTTTGAAAATCACGGCCTAAGGACTGAAAGTTTAATGTGTTGATTGAGTGATTCTATTTTGGTAACATTGATTTCTAAATTTGAATGTCATTTTACACTATTATTAATATAATTATAAATTCAACCCTCCACTTACAAGCGAGAAATATTGAATCTCTTTGCATTAATTGTAGTTGTTTTTATAGATGCATGTTATAAAAGCAACAATGTTTTTATAAGGTTAAATCTAGGCTTAAAGACATCAAAGGTCCCTAAAAAAAGTCTAACGTGACCTTTATTTTTTTGATCAATGTGGTCCTCTAACTAAAAAAAGAATTCAATGCGACTTTTTGATCAACATTAATGACTGACTCTGTTAATTCCAGCTGATATAAATTGGGTAAATTACAGGGACTAAGGCTGTAGTTAACCCATTTACACCTATCTCTAACTTCTTCCTCTTCTCCTCGCCGTCGCAGCGAGCTTCAACAGAGCCGCCATTGATCCTCAAATCTATGAAACCCAAGTCATCATATTCATTCACTACACAAATGGAATTACATTCTTCCATTGCAATGGAATCTTTAACTCTCTTCTCGTCGACGGTTAACGATGCACCAATATCGGACCAAGACTTCAACCTATTTCTTTCACATACATTTGTGCATTAATTTTAAAAAATGAATCCAGCAGGTAGCAGATGGTGGAGAAATGAAATTGGTGAAAACAAAGGTAGACATTGATAAACATGTTAAGGTACCCATGGCTGATGATGATATGGCCTCTCTCGATATGTTTGTTGAAGATTACGTTTCCAACCTTAGCAAGACACAGATTAGCAAGTCCATTCCCATGTGGGATTTCCGTATTTTAAACCCCAAACCTCTGATGCTGAATTCACACTGGTTATTCGAGTTCATCATTACCTTGGCGATGGAACTTCTCTCATGTCACTGCTAATCTCTTGCTCCGACACATTACCGAGTTTTCCGGTGATGAAGAAACCGAGATCCAGCGGTACAGGATGGTTTTGGAGATGTTGGTCTCTTTTGTTGTTAACGTGGAACACTCTGGTTGATATATGCATGTGTAGTGAATGAGTATGATGATTTGGGTTTCATAGATTTAAGGATTAAAATGGGTTAACTACAACCTTAGTTCCTGAAGTCTCTAGGATTTCCAAAATTTAATTTTTGTGGAGTTTAGTGATCAAAATAGAAGAAAAAATAGTTGAGTGATGAATGATTAAAGACCAAAAATATAATTTTTAAAAGTTATGTATTTTGCTCGTAAATGAATAGTTCACCACAAAACTAACATTTTCGTGAGAATCATAATTTTGATTTGGATTTTGTATAAAAAACTATAAAGCAGTAAAGTTCAATAAATATATGGATAAGTGAATCGAATCTAGAATTTAGGAAAAATTTGAAGGATAATGGAAATAGGATGGAAAATTATTTCTATATTTTAGAATGGTGAAATTTGACATGAATCCTTGGAATTTAGATGAATTTTTCATGTTATATCGAAATTGTTAATTATAGTGACTTGTTTGTAAATTTTAAATTTTATAAGGGTAAAATAGGAAAGTATGACTTATTTTGTTCATATTTGACTTTGAAAAAAATGTAAGGATGATGATGTCATAACAATGGCATAGTTGAAATTATAGGGATTTTTAAAGGGCAAAATGGTATTTTGGCATTAAATGATTTTTATATTCGTGAATAATGAAGAAAAACCTAGAAAAGTTGTAATCTTCCTTTAGTTTATATATATATATATATAGACGTGAGCCTTAATACGAGAAGGCTAAGGTAAATTTTCTTGAATTCTTTTTATTTTAAAACTATTGTTTTTTTTATTTATAAAAAGCTAAAATTATGGTTTCTTTAATTTTTTAACTATGTCATATTGGTAAGCTAAACCTAATGTTTCTTAAATATATTAGTTCTTTGGTTTTGATTTAGAACTGAGAAGCTGGTCATATGTCATTCTTATTGCATCTTAAATAAAGAAATGGATCGAGTAAATTGAAAAAACAAAATCAATTTTCTTCCTTCTTCAAACTCTCTTTGCCGTGAGCCACGAGGAAGAAGGTAAGAATATTTATTATCTTTAGCTGCTCTTGATCAATGACCATGCAAAAATTTGTAAACTTCTATTAATAAAAAATTTAGCCATGCAAAGTTGTCTATTTATATATTTGAGCCATGAAAAATTCATTCTCCTTAGCCCTGAGCCATAACCAAAAAGGTAAGAATAGCATATCTTCTTATTGCAAAGTTGATTTATATTTGAGGCATGAAATCCCTACTTATGATGAAGTCTAAGGAAAGACAACATAATATAAGGTTAAGGAAATGCGCAACCGGAAATGTTAATTTTATTTTAATATTTCCGGTGGAGCACTACCTAAAATGTTAATTTTGTTACCTAAAATGTTAATCGTTTTAACGTTTCCTGTTGCAACCGAAAATGTTATGGAGAAAGTAACATTTTAATGGGTGGTGCTTCTTTCTTGTACTGCTTAAATTTTATGAGATTGATGGATTCTTGCTCGTATAGAATTTCATATCATATTATAGTCTATTTTTGCTTTATTTTCAATTCTTAGAAATGGAATGTTAGAAAACTGCACCAGCAACTATGTTATAAAACTTATCCTATTATCAATCAGAAAGCGTTGTCCTTGTCTGGTTGTTGACGTTTGGCAGAAACTAAACCCACATCACAAGCTTATATCACTTTTGAGTTCCCTTTATGGTGAATTAAATTTAAATGGTATCAGTTCATTTGATAAGCTAATAGAATTAGTGAATAAACTAAGGATACAAATTAGTGAAATCTGTCTAATTAGTAATCTGGACTGTAAGTTTATAAAATCACCACAAATTTTACAAGAATGATTAGAAGATGATTTTTATATCATTGGATTCATATACAAATTTAGTTTTGTTTAAAATAAACAGCTACTGATTTGGAAGTATATACAAAAAGGTATGAATTTTTAACTGATGAAAAGTCAGAAAACAAGGCAGCAGATTCTGCTTAAAACAGATGTCTGTAAGCTGGATTAGAAAATTTGTTATAAATTGTACAAGTTGAACTAGAAAGAGAGCCTTATATGGTTAGATTCGTATTCGAGTCTAGTTTACAATGATACAATTAGAATAATTTTTGAGTGCATAGATTAATATTTAATAATATTTTTTTGATGATAGTACAAACTACCATAATATGAAATTGTGGTAAATTATGCACTTTATGATACTCTTATGTTATATGTTACCTTAAATGTTTGAAAAGAGCCAATTTCATTACTTGGCATGATAGATTTGATATTTATTACAAAATGAAAACCATGTTAAAGAAACCCTAGAGTATTCGGCCTAAAGGAAAAAATTAGGAGAAATTATAAAAAAATCATAAGGGTTTAGAAATGAAATATTAGTGATTCTACATTCTTTGAATGTGATTTGGGACCAATTTAAAAAATTGTGAAAGTATATGGATTGAAGTGTAATTATTCAATAGATGATGTGTTATGTTGGAATGTTGATTTTGGATTAATTCGTAAAATTTACTACAGGTAGAGATCAAAATGTAAAGTGAACAAATTGTGAAGGTTACTGAATGAATATGAAAGTACTTGATTATACATAACAAAATGATGATTCTGATATTAAAATATTAATTAATTAGGATTGTTTGGAAGAATGTATAAGTTAAAGGACTAAGTTATAAATATGGAAAAATTATGGGTTAAAGTAGAAATCGAGTATAAGGTGATTAATGTAAATTTAAAGTGAATATGAAGGAACTATTTAGAATTATTCTTAAAATATTAGGTTATATTTAAAAGAAAAGTTTATTGATGATTAAATGTGAAATATTGAAAAGTTAAGCTAAGTATTTGTAACATCCTCAATACCGGGTTAGTGACTAAATTGTGAAATTTCAGAATTTGGTGATTAAAGTGGAAAAGTTAAAAAGTTCAATGATTTATTTGAAAGTATTTCCTGAAGGGTTATTAGTAATTATTAAAAGAATCAAAGGGCAAATGAATCATTGAACAAGAAAAATAATTAAATAAAATTTAGTGGGTATTATAATACTCATGTGATGCATGTGTGAAGAGATAAGCTTCCAAACTTATCTTTTTCATCTTCTTCTCTTCTCCAACGTGCCCAAGCTAGAGCAAAGGTGAGTTTTATATTTTGTTGATTATTTGTTAATTTTAAGAGTGAGTTTTGATCATTAGATGATAACTAACCTTAAGGAAAGCTTAAGTTATCATAAAATCAAAAGATAAAGGAGTTATGATAGAATAAAGAAAATGGGGTTTTAAGTGAAATTTTGAATAAGAAGGTTTAAATGAATTTGGAGGATGAATTTGACTTGTCATCTATGAGGATAAGAAGTTAGAAGTGTTAGAATTAAGTTTGGATAACATGGAAAATTTGGTATGATTATTGATTTCTATATGGAGAATATAATTTTGAGATTTAAGATGAAATAAATAGATATAAATGAGTTTAAGCATGTATATTTGAGTTAAGAAAATGAAAGGGAATGAAACTTGAAAAATAGAAATTGAAAGAGTGAATTTTCGTGCAATGAACAGTGATTTCTGGATAGGTGCATCGATGCATTAAGGGGTGCATCGATGCATGGATATTTCGAAGCTATTTTGTGTACCGATGCACCCATAGTGCATCGATGCACTCCTAAAGGAAAAGCTAAAATTTGGTTCATTAAATTAGTCTAAGTTATTAATACCAAGTTATAAGGTTTAGGCTTCTGAAAATCGTCTTGAAATTATGTTTATGTAGATATTTAGCCTAAACAAATTCTGGAACAATCAAAGAATTAGGATCGAATCAAAGCAAGGCTAAGGTGAGTGCAATTTAATTGTACTTAAGTTATCAATTAAACATTGGATTGCGATGAGTCAATGACAGAGTTATTATGGTAAGGAGTAATTTCTAAAATGTATGTGATCTTTCTGTGTACATGAATATATGAAAAATATGATATCAACTATGTGATATGCATGATATGTTATCTTATGTGTTATGTAAGGTATATATGAATA